GGCAATTTTTTCAGGAATATAATGCGAAGCTTTCCGATTTTGGACTTGCTAAAGATGCTCCTGACGAAGGTAAATCTCATGTTTCGACACGAGTCATGGGAACTTACGGTTACGCAGCTCCAGAATACGTCATGACAGGTGATTTTTTTTTATTTTTATTCTTTTTCCCTTCTTTTGACATTTTTCGGTTGACTATTTTGCTAATAGTCAGTAAATGCCTTTACCTAATAGTAACATATATGCTTTTATTGATTAAAATCAATATAATATGTGTACTAGTCATATATCCGATTTTTTTCGTCGATAATTTACGGGACTTGACATACGTATTGGACATGAGCTGCATTATGAATTTATATTTCATCATTTTTTGGCATTAAATTTAGGCAAAAAAATCATTTTCAGTCCTCTTGGTTTAACGTCATAGCAATTCCAACTTTTCACCTTCTTGTCTTGTGATTTAATATTTTGCTGCAATTTCATGCAACAACAAAATTTCGAATTACATGACTGAAATTGCTTCAAAATTTTAAATTACAGCAAGCGAAAATCTAGGAATTTGTTGTAATTCTAATCGTTAAAGGGAAATTGCAGCAAAATATTAAATCACAAGATTAAAAAACAAAATATTGGAACCCTGGGACTAAAAAATGACTACGACTTTAATAAACCAACAGAACTAAAAAAATGCACTTTTGCCTTAAATTAAATACACACCTTATATTTCGAAAAAAAAAAACCAAAAATCGGTTAAAAATTCGCATTGCAGGCCACCTCACATCGAAAAGCGATGTGTACAGCTTCGGTGTCGTCCTCCTCGAGATGATAACGGGCCGGAGGTCCATGGACAAGAACCGGCCCAATGGTGAACACAACCTCGTCGAGTGGGCCCGCCCCAATTTGGTTGACCAGAGGCGATTCTATCGCCTTATAGACCCTCGGCTCGAAGGCCACTTCTCGATCAAGGGGGCCCAAAAGGCTGCACAGCTGGCGGCTCGCTGCCTCAACCGGGACTCAAAAGTCAGGCCTTTGATGAGTGAAGTTGTCGAGGCTCTAAAGCCATTGCCGGGCCTGAAGGACATGGCCAGCTCATCATACTATTTTCAGACTATGCAGGCGGATCGGGCCGCCATAAGCCCAAATGGAAAGAGTGGGCTTCGGGCCCAAGGATCATTGTCTAGGGATGGGCAGCAGTTGAGGAATCTCTCGATACCTCAGGCTGCCTCGCCGTTTAATCAGTTTGCGCAAAGTTCGCCTAAACCGAAGAGTAAACAATAGGGTATTTTTTTTTTTTT